AAACCTTTCACGCGACGTTCCTCATCACTTTGACTTACGGCGGCCAGGGTGTCCGCTTTCAAGTGGGGGGGGGGGAATTAGTGTGGGCATTTGTAACTTACATCGTCCTCATCCCTGCATAATCACAATCACCATCATCCGCTTGTCTCTTTGCCCTCATTGCCACTCTGGGTCATCATCATCGTCATCGTCTGTGTGCTGGCTCTGCCCGTTCGTTTCGTGAGGTCTTTCCTCAAATAAACGCTGTCGCAGCCAAGACTACCAAGACTTCATAATATATATATATATATATATATATATATATATATATATATATATATATATATGTGATGCTACGATGACTGGGTGACGTGGCTTGGCTCATACGCCATCTTTATTCTATTGTCACTTCTTCCTTCTCTACCTCTACTAACCGTCACTTGATACGTCACACGATTCCCCCTCCCCCCGAAAGATGGCACCGTTTATAACCTACAAAAAATTGAAGAAGCCAATAAACAGACAACGTCCAAATTCTCAGTATCACGTCCCGACGGAGTTCCACAGTCTCTTTAAATCTTCAAGCCGGAGGGAGCAGTCCGGTGAACTCTATAACAACTCTGGTGGGCGAGGCTGACTGTTGCGTTCTGGACAAAGCGGGATACACGTGGATACTGACAGTACTGCTAGAACTCTTGTTCGGGCTGACCAAGTTTGAAACGCCTTGTTGCATCGGCAGCTCGGATGTCGTCGGGGTTGTATTTTTCGCCGTGAATGGTGCAATTCCGGTACTTCTTGCTTTCGTGCTTTTTGACCGACTGTGACGAAGTGCCTGAGTGCTTGCGGTGTGCAAGCAGTGCTTTTGCGTCTTTCTCGGCGTTTTTTGTGGTGGTGCAGTCGGTGTAATAGCAGGTGCAGGGAGTGTTTCTGGTGACTTTTCTTTGTGCGAAATCGCCTGACGTCTTGAATCGGTCTTTGGTTAAGAGATCTTATTTTCCGATGTTGTTTTATTGGTGAGTGCGCTTCCGTTGAATTTCGCGTTCGTCGATGCCCTCGTTGCAGTTTCTCTTGTTGTAGCATGGGTTTATGAACTTGGCTTTGCTTGCTTTGCTGAGGCTGCTCAAGAGATGGCTGTAGTGGCGCCCCTTTCGGAATGGGGCATTCATTTTCTTCGATGTTTGACGTGTCCTGTCGAAAGCTGATGCTTGGTGAATTGGTGTCTTGCTTGTCGGGCATAGTTGGTAATGCATCATCATTGCTAGCAGGCTCTTCAGAGGCTTCGGTGACGTGGTTCGTTACGCACGCTTCCAAAAGGCAACTGTGTACGATGTTTGATGTATCATGTACTTCTGAATTTGTTCGATTCATGAATTGGTGAGCTCTGCATGTGGGCACCACAGGTGACATGGCATTACTAGGTTTGAACTGCCAATTTTGGCAATTCTGCGGTGCCGTAGAAACGACAGGGAGCTCTTCAGGGGCTTCTTTTTCGCTGTTCACTGCGAGTGGTCCTTGCGCCTGGTAGCGTGCGACGTTCGATGCATCTGAGCGTTCTGTTTTGTTTGGACTGTCGAGGGTGTGTGCACCGGACGGTGATGCATGAGCCCGTGCGAAAGGAGCATGGCTCGACTGGGTATTTTCTCGGTGCGTGAACTCGTCTATCGTGAACATGGTTTCCTTATGAGGCAAACGGTGAGCGTCAGGAGCGCTTGAAGAGCCGCGTGATGGAAAACCGCGTGGTTGACCGCGTATGCAAGACGAAGAATTAAGAGCATCAGGTCGGTGGGCATCGTCTCGCGTCATAGGCTGGAGTGAGGACTTTCGAAATGCCGGCTTTTGTGCAGAAGGGAGGCGTGCTTGATGGTTAGGCTTTTTCCAAAACACGCATGGTCTTCTGAAAGTAAACTCATGTGCCACTTCGTCTTGAGGCACTTGTCGATTCGCGCTGGACTTTCGAATGCTTGATGACTGCATAGGAAATTGACGATAGTGTGCAGTTGTCTCTAGATGGTTGGCAATGAGTAAGTCTTGGTCATAGTCATTAAAACGGGTAATCATCTCCTCTTTGATTTTTTGCCATGACTCGTCATTCTCGAATATGTGAATTAGGTAAAACTTGAATGCCTCACCGGTGACGTAGTCGCTGAAGTTCGTAACCATCTCCCGTTCCGACCAAGATGCAGCGGCGGCGTGGACCTCGAATAGGTTGAACCAGTCCTGTACGGGTCCATCGTCCGCTGATCCGGTGTACTTGGGGATGTCGAGGTCAGCCGATGGTTCTGTCATGGTGCTGGTCGTTGTCCTTCTAGGCGATGATTCGGTAGTCAATGTATGGGCAGGGTGTCTTCTGTAGAATTGCGTTGATGCTGAGCGACTGATGAAGGGGCAGGCAGGTCTCCATCCTGTCGACTTGTGTGACGCTACGATGAATCGGAGACGTGGCTTGGCTCATACGCCATCTTTATTCTACTGTCACTTCTTCCTTCTCTACCTCTACTAACCGTCACTTGATACGTCACATATATATATATATATATATATATATATATATATATATATATATATATATATATATATATATATTTAGGCAACATCCAGCCGGGAATGTCTATATAATAGCCATCGCAATAAATCACTTATAGAGCTATGAATAAACATGCGCAAAAATCGCGCTGCTCCGAATTACATCCTTGTTTCTTGGCCGATTGGGTCGCGAACTTCTTGGCTTTCCAATTCACAAGCTCTCCTCTTTACGCCCCATACTCAGCCAACACAGCGCAGGCGGCGCACGGAACATCACCCGCCCATGCTACAGTCCCCCCTCCCCGTGAGACATGGGTACTTTGAAAACGAATAGAGTGCTTGAAACCGGCAACGTGTTCGCCACTACTTGGATGTCTGCATGCAAAACTCAAGGTCACCGGAGCGACATAGAATAAAACCTCGGTGATAACAATCTCGTGGGGTCACAAAAATAGTCGTACTATCCGAAATTCATATCACCAATGCCATACCCAGAAATACTTTTCGGGAGTCAACTGGTGGTCGGTATGAAGGCCTACGTCCACCCGGAAAGGTAAAACAAGAGAAAATGAGGTGGGGAGGGGGGGAAGCGTCAGAACACTATTAATACACTCTTAGTTACAGCCTTGGTTTCACAACATAATACGAACAATTAGCTCGCAGAGAAAAAAAACTTTGCGTATTCTCTCGTTTATTGGTGCTCAGTGCCGCAGCAGCACGAAAAGCTCTGAAGCTCTGAATGATTGCCAATGAAATTTTTTAGATAGCTACGATTGCTCTTGCACTCGTAACTACACGGACTGTGCGCGCCCATGTATTAATGAGCCATTTCTGTTGTGCGATGTGACAACTCGTGAAACCTTCCTAATTATAGTACTCTTTGCCGTGAAACAAGAAAGTGCTGCTGCAAAAGTGACACAAAAATCTTTTTGCACGCAATATGGGGAGTGAGAGGTAAATTTTGTTAACTTCTGTCAAATTGCTGGGCTGGGCAGGAGCTAATGAAAAGACCGTCTCTCCCAGCAGGTTCCTGAGTCTGCTGTATCGCTCAGCTGGTGTTCTTTATTTTACACTAATACCACACACAACACTGGCTTCTACGATTTCGCCTGCATTGATATACGACCGCCGCGGTTTCGATTGAATCCGCGATTCTGGGTATGTAGCTGAGCATCGTATAGATACGACCTATAGCCAATGTTCAACCGTGGCAGACAACCAGAGTTGTTAGTCGCAGCTGGAACTGAGCAGCTCAGTCCGCACACGGCCTGAGCTGAAGAGTGTTCATTGTAGGCTGTGACGCCATAACTGCAGATTAATGCGGAACATACACATAAGATATGGTGAAGAGGGGCTCTAGTGCTACCATGGTGGTGATTAGGTTTGTAGACTTCGGGCTATATATGGTCCATGATGACGGGATTCGGGTAGGTGCGTATTTGTAGGCCCCGCCATTGAACAGTCGGGAGCTGTTTAGCTTGGGGTGAAAAAGAGGGTACCCTAGCCTTTGTATTCGATAGTGTTGAGTTATGTCACAAAATTTAGAGAGCCGATCGTCCCATTCCCACACCGGCGCTGAAAGCTCCGTTTATGTTCATTTAACGCGGCTCGAAATGACCTGGAGCTACATTGTGCGCCACCTCACTTAGAATGACCTCTGGGTAACCTAGAAGAAGGGAGTGGGCAGGGAACCAGAGGATTTGCCTTCATTTGTCCACCTCGTGAATTTTGCTTGTATCAAGGATTCGCAATGCCTCGGGAGAGATTCAGCCACTGGCGTAGTTTCGAACGGCCGTCTGCGAGTCGCTGATGATATACGAGGTGTTCGTGTAAGCTATGGCCATCACAATAGCCACTTCTTCCGCCATTTCTACGTTTCGTGTGATGATTGATGTGCTACCTTTGCATGGTTGTCTGTGGTCTACGACAGAAGCCACGAAGTGGTGACGTTCGTGGCGTGCTGCGTCGACAAACACACCGCCTGGTTGCGCTCTATTGGCACGTCTGGCCAGGTTTTGTTTCTGGTATGTGTTTCTGGCATGTGTTTCTTGGTATAGGGTGGTATTGGGAACTTAGCACATAGTTCATGATAGGTCGTGTTTGTCTCCGTGTTGAGTGTTATGATTAGATTCTCAGTTTACAACCACAACCTCTATAGTGATTGACCAGACGTCCGTGAACTGCAGTGTTCACATGATAATAAACAATCAATCAAACGTCTGCATCAGCCAGGAATTTAGCTGATGTCAGCGCCCATGTTTTGTCCTTTCTCATGTCCTCGTTTTTTTTTCGCGCAATGCAAGCATGCCGATTCCAAATACCCAACTGGTCCAGGCAACTGTTTTAATAGGTCGTTCAAATTTCTGGAGCCCTCCACTACGGCATCTAGGTTTTGTCACGTAAGAACTGAGATCTTATTATTCTTTAATGTATCCGTATACTACATAAAATTTAATTTTCAAATAGCATGATTAATTTGTGTGAAATTGACACGGACATTAGTGGAAGCTTACTTTATTTGCACTTTACTTTTCAGGTTTCATAACTCATTTTTCTTGTATTTGCAGAAGCTGTCGAATTCTACTCAGTAACTGTAGCCGACTTATTTCTGGTCCTCTCTGGTGCCGTTTCAGGGAGCAAGCGGTACTGTTGAACTTGCCGAGTAATGATGCCTGCACACTTCTGAGCACCTTGACCACGCACGAAGTCTTCATGCTGGCCTTCAATTACGCTGACCTCAATCTTGCCGTCACAGCACTGGACAGAAAAAAGACACACATGCAAGAGAAACTTGGAGGACCATTGAGCCTCGCACAATTCATTTTTAGTCCTTTGTCTCAGTAAGTGAATCAGTTTGAATAAATGAGGCAACGTCTGAGTCATGGCCTGTTTGCCGGAGTTAGTGGCGTCAAGATGTTGAGGAACCGACCAACCAACCAGCCTCCGAGGGTATAATAATAATAATAATAATAATAATAATAATAATAATAATAATAATAATAATAATAATAATAATAATAATAATAATAATAATAATAATAATAATAATAATAATAATATAAGTTGTTTGCACCCATGTGGAATTTTTTCTCACGGACAATGCCAATTTTTCACTCACAACACCCGACGCGGACACCAAAATTTCTACGAAACGAGCTTTTTAACGCCGTTGCGTTATAACGCAGACGTCATCGCACACGATTTTGCCACCGCAGTTTGACACCATCAAGCAACGGGCTCAGCACTAGAGATATTACATGACGTCGGTTTACATATAAGAAGTCATGCAGCGCTCTGCAGCCGTCCTTTACTGTGAACATTGAACTGTGCACCGACAAAGTCTTGACATCGACGTGTAAGAGAGAAGTCACCGATGATTAGGACACTGCGTAATGTGGACTCTCGGCGCCGCTGTTTACGTGTTTTGGTGCACCGATAAGTTGAGGCAAATGCTTCTGCTTTGACGACGTGCACCTCTGCATTCTGGCGTAAGCGGCGGTCAGCCTCCGCTCGAATATAGCTGGTTTTTAACAGCAGTGGCAGACAACGTACTTCCGTCAGGTTCATTGTTCAGAAAGAACTGGATGAGGGTATTCGGCTTGTTGGCACGCTGTTTACGTTAAGAAAAGAACGCCGCCAGTAGTGTGACTGGCGTGGGCGATTTTGAGCTGCCAATTGCACATCAACCACCCCATACTTCGCGCAGCGCGACTGCCGACGAGACGGCACACGCAGCGGCACGAGAGCTAACCAGCAGCACCCCGGCAACTCGCAGGTACGATGAGTGACAGATATCTCTGCTGAATTCGGTATCCGCATGGAGCTCAATATTGATACACATATCAACACCATCTAGAAAGGTCAACTCAGCCCGAAAGACCACCCTGGTTACCTTTATAGGAAAGTTTGGTAAACCTATCAACACAGATAACCTGAGTCCAATTTTTCTTACATCCTGCACATGAAAGCTTATGGAAGCAATGGTTCGAGAACACCTCTCATGATGTGTCGAATGAACAGGTGCCATTGCCGACACAATGTATGGCTTCCGACCACATGAATCAGCCCAAGATGTTTTACTACAACTTCACCTTAAGGTATCAGCCTGAAACTACTCGCAACAATCATAAGGTCATATTTGCCCTAAACTTGAAAGACGCCTTCGACAATGTGATACATTGTGCCACCCTAGATGAACATAACACCAAAAACTGTGGTGAGAGGACCTTTTTCTACATACGAGATTTCTTGTCTGACAGGGAGGCCTTTATTATCATTGAGGACGATGAATACGGTTCCTACGTCATGGGAACGAGGGCCACACCACAAGGAGTGGTTCTTTCACCGCTACTTTTTCACATCGCCTTGACGTACCTTCCGAGGGGGCTGGCTCGGATACCAACCATCGAACATGCGTTGTATGGTGATGATATTTCAATTTGGATCACACAGAGAAACTTGGGAGAAATCGAGGCCAGTCTCCAACAGGCTACCTCCACTGTCGACTCGTATGCGTCAGCATGCGTGCTCAAGTACGCCCCATCTAAATATGAATTTGTCCACATCAGATTCAACCTAAAAGACAAAATACGCAACTGCTTGACCTTCTGAGGGGCACCTATTTGCGAGACAGAAGAAATTAGAATGCTTGTACATTCACAGCCGCCTGAAAATTGATACAACCATCGCCAAACTCAAAAAGACCGGCAAACTAGTGGGACGGAGGATTTACTACGACTCAAATGATTGCGGTGGACTGCAAGGTATTGTGCTTCAGCTTTTCTAGGTCTTCGTCACCAGCAGAGACCAGTACTCCATTCTCAACACCATACCAAACGCATAGACGCAATAATACGGACGGCCACCAAGAAGGCTCTGGGATTCCCAATCATCACATCCAATGCGCGTTTAACCACACTTAGTGTGATAAACTTGGTGCAGGAGATAATTTAAGCCCATGTAGTAAACCAATACAATCGACTTGCGCAGACGCCTTCAGGGTGACGTCTTCTCGCTCGTCTTTACATACATCGCGATGTTGAAACAAGAGGCACGCTAGGCGTATCGGAGCTTTGGAGGCAAAACAATTTGTACAGCCTCTACCGAAAAAAATGGACTCGGAACTGCACCAGAGAAGATGGGAAGCGCGCGTTCGGGTGCTGGAAACACGGTATGGCCGTAACACAGTGTTTTACTACGTGGACGTCGCCGCACCTGGACCGAAGTGGATACTTTACGGTAGCAGTATTCCACAAGAAAACGCTGGTGAATGGCCTTTCCGTTAAGGCTTGCAACTCAACACAGGTGGGGAAGATTGCTATAGCATCAGGTCTCTCGCACCGCGCTTCCGAAGTAATCATTAATAATTCCCGAAAAGCTTGGAGCCGCTATTGGCAGGCTTAATTTCTCCCTTTGCCTAGGAAACTCTGCGCGCGAGCACGAAGTTCATCGAACCCCCTCCGAAGCACGTGGGTCCTTAATGACCCCAGGTCATTAAGGACTTCGAGGGAACGAGCCCGCATATGCGGCTGCCCGAGCGCTCGTTCCCCGGGTACCTCATTCGAGCCCCTGAAATGGAGTTCACAACTACCGCTGCTCATGTAACAAGTAAATTGTGCAGTACTATTGCTCCCAGCATTGCTGGTATCCAACCCCTGCCCAGGGTCTGGATAAGGCGGGAGAAAGAATTTAGGCTGGCTTTAAACAAACAAGCTATGCCCGGCGATATTGCAGTATTTTGACCCCACAGTCACGGGCAGATGCCAGCACTGTGGGCAGAAAGCCGATGTCTACCACATGGTGTGGGCCTGTCAGCTAAACACAGCCATTTCTCCTCTCGCCAACCCTACGTGAGAGGACTGAGAGGCGACGCTGCTTAGCTGCTCTGACCTCGGGTCCCAACAGGCGCTGATTGCTTGAGCAATAAGGGGCAGCGGTATCGGCCAATGACGTCCGGGACTGAGGATGTCACCTAGTCTGTAAGGCCCTTTCAGTGGCTCATACACTTTCTTTTATAACAAAAAGTTTCACCACCACCACCGGCGACAGACCGTCCAACGTGGTTCGAAGCCAAGGACCGCATGACGGACAACAACGACATCACGAAGGCCTACCGCCTAGCCCACAGGACTCTCCCATCCCCGTACCCACGTCTGGGTCAAGTGGAGGCGGTACTACTGGGGCAGCTCCAGGCCGGATCGCTACCGAGCCCGGCACTGATGCACCGCATGTACCCCGAGACATACCCGACCGACAAGTGCAAGATCTGCTGGAGGGAGATGGCAGATTACACACAAATCGTGTAGGACTGCATAAAACACCCAGAGGAATCCATATCAAGAACAATCGCGTCGCGGCTCGAGCTGGTCGCGAAAGCTATGACCAGGAAGAACAGCTCTGGGCCATCCATCAGGTCCTCGGGGCGCTCGAAAGACAGGGACCCTGCTGAACCGGCAACGCCGAGCGGGGACCCGCGCCGAGTAACGGCATCACCAAAAACGACGTGGCGTGCGAGCGCCCAACTTCAAGCAGAAATGAAGTTAACCCAATCCAATTGCTAACCGGGAGATGACGGAAGGCAGCGCGTGGGCGCGTTCTACAACGTGTACGGCGCACATATATGCCCTCATTAAGCGCGAGACAGACGTGCGATTTTCTCTGTGATTCGGCGTGCGGTGCGACGATGCGACTGCCGGAGTGGTGACGTTTTGTGACGTATCATCGCGTCGTACCGCCGCATAGTCAGTGCGCTGAGCATCAAACCGGCCAGATATTTTCGTCGCAGCATTGCACCGTCGCATGGCAGCAGCCAATCTTAGCGCGAGTATGCGAGTGGCGTCACTATGCTAGTGGCGCCATCTCCCTGTCGCTGCTCCCATCTCCCGTGGTCCAAGGCTCCAGGCGAGTCGCTGGAGCGGTGCCAGCGTGGATTTTCTGACATCGCCGACTGCGGCGGCGTGACAAACATCGAGTAAATTTCTCTGGTGACGCTGATATTATTCCGGATTTAATAAAGCGATGCTTGAAGTGTGCTTTTTTATGCAAGACAACGACCGTTTTGAAACCGCTAGCGAGATCGGAGATCGTGAGCAGCGATGCAAGGTCATTTCGCAGGTAAACACAGCTATCGGCGTCTCTGCGCTCGCTCGCTTCGCTTCCACCTTTTCTCTTCACATCGATGGCATCGATAAAGTAATATTGTGTGCTAACGGTATGCTAACGCATTACATACGGGCGCAATGCTTGACAGTGTTTTCAAAAACAAGCGCTCGATGACGAGCTCGAGTGTGAACGACGTAGGTGATGGCCGACGCGTGATGCTAGGCCTACCTGTCGGAGTCAAGATTAAACAGCTGTTGCCGTGGTTACGACGTGCTTGTCGTTCATGAATGCGATTTATAAATTATTTTTATACAACGAAGCGTGGCTGTGCAATGTTGTTTGTTTTGAGCCTCATTACGAGGATACCAAGTCGTTCGACCCTGCATGCCGAGGCGCCGCATGGGGGCGGAGCCTGCCGCTGATAGCTCCTTTGCCCTTGTGTGTCCCGAAACGTCGCATGCGGCACGCCGCACCATGCGACGCCACACGCCGCATCACACGGAAAGTCGCACGTCTGTCTCGCACTTTACTGTGGTGCCGCCGTTGACCGCCGTGTAACTTGCCGTCTCGCTAGAGTGCACCAAAATTTTTTCTAGTCTCGCCACTTTCATTCCGTCCTGCTCGAGCTCCCCTTGCCGTCCCTGTATTTGACATGCTGCTGCGCTCCATGTTCGCTTTCTTTCGTCCTCGTCCACTTTACCGGTTGCGATGACGCGGCTCAACGCAAGAACGAGCACCGAAGTATACGGTACTCCAAAATGATTAGGAGCTACTAAGGGTTGCTTATCTCGCTTATGTCGCTTAACAGAAGCAAAGCATTCGCACTAGCTTCTCTACTCACCTCTGAGAGGCCATAGTCGTTTGGAAGCTGGCACAACGTTACATGCGACCTGGAAGGCTTGACTAGCCCCACGTCTCCGTAGAACTTACGTCTTGGTTTGTAAAGCGAAGCGGCTTGCAAGAACGCGTAGAAGGCGCGTACAGCCGTCACCACGTCTTGTCGGCTTGATCGAACGTCCGGTTTGCCCTGCAAGAGTATGTCGATGGCGACATTCACCTTGGCATCCCAGTCAGGGTACTGGTCCAACCGGTCCCGGAGCTGAGGAGAAACAATGCCATTTGATGAGTAAAGCTGTGTCATCGATGATATTTAACATAGAGCGCATGCTCATTCAGAGTCTGTATAATGACAATAATTTAGGAGTCCCACAAGCGCAATGCGTAGATGGGGCATTCCCGATCACGTCTGCAAAACTTTTTAACGCTACGTGCCTCGGAAATGGCTCGAATTTCAAAATGAAAACGGCTACCCTTCCTTTCGCGAGTGCGAGCCCAGAGAATGAGGGTATGGCGTGCACGTATAAATGGCCCTACGTACACGGCAATGAAGTGACGTTGGTCCTCCATGTAGACGACTGTGCTGTGACGCTCCCAACAGTGGCGCGTGATATGGCGAAAATTATTTAACACGACCTGCGTAGTTTATGAAATTTGTTGCTTGAAGAGAATAATAAAAGCTGTGACAAATGAAACCTAATAAGGGAAGGTACGTGCCTTTTTTCTATTTTCCCCCGTGAATTGCAACGAGATGCAGGGCTAATGTGCAGACGTTTCGAATGCGTTAGTGTCCCCGTGGTCAGCGCATCGAGCAGGGAAAGTAACCTTCTACACGTTCGCGCAATCATTGTGCTCATCTATTCAACCACGTCTAATCCAGCGTTTCCAAACGATCCGACAGAAACAGGCAGAAGAGAACAAAGAAACGCTGGGCAACAAAACAACACCGCTTGCGTGCTCGGGGGTTGGGCTTGTTCGGGCACGTCATGCGCAAGGGACCTCTTGGTTGGATGCCGGAGAGGGTAGGGAAGAGATTTGGCTTGCGAAGGCTTCGCGGGGACCAGGAAGTGTTTCGAGCTTAGGGAGCCTCAAGGAGGTTATACTAAAACTTCTGGAGCGGCGGAGAGGCTCCGTGGCTGAAACCGACGCGCCGCCATATTGCTCATGGAAAATGCGGAAGGGGTAGCATTGTAGCGTGCGTGGCTTTCGCGTTGATTTTGTGCTAGTAATGTTGCGCGTGGTGCCTCTATTCGGACAACATGGCTCTCAACACGTCTGCGATGACTTTTCGATACGATGATGGTGGGCTCTTGGGTAGCATTTGGCTGCGCGAGTCGTGTGACACCAGGCACAGCCTTCAATGCTTCGCTCACTATACATATTCACATATTCTCGCTACCACAACTGCATTCGCGAGTAAATAAATTTACTTTTTGCGCCCAGGGCACATAGACAGTTCGAATCATTTTTGTACTGTTTCAGGAATCCGAATACGTCATATTGCGCGGCAAATGAGAGTGAACTCCGAGGCTTGTGTGCAGTACACATGCTAAACCAGGCTGCTTCCACGAAACAGGGTAAACAACGACATGGTGGGCTTGTTATATTAATTCTGTGTTTGCATCTTTTTCATGCACATTTACAAAAACCAGTACGTAAGTGTGCCTAATACAAGTAAGCGCTCATTTCTCAAAGGTAGTTATTCCAGCTCCAGCTCTGAATTTTTCGGATTATAAGTTTTTTGTATTTGTATGAGCACTGGAATTTCTGATGTTGCGATACGCCTCTTTTTATGTAGGAGAAAAAGGAAACGGACTCATCTGAAAAGTCAGGGAAATAAACACTATGGCCTAAAGCACCTCTCGATGATAGAGCTGTCAAAATCCCGCCACCCCCGAAATTCACCCACAGAGGAGTGATAAAGGCAAAAAAAAAAAAACTGAATAAATTGCGAACAAGGTGAGCAGTACGAATAGGGCCTTTTAAAATATATATCTGGGCGCTTCTTGGAATTTCATTGACCAGAAGAAATAATCAGATAAAAGATTGAAAGTTTTTTTAAGCATAGCTTTCTCCGAATATCCAGGAGCTTCTCAAAAGAGTGCATGAAAAAGCGAATGCTCCCACTCCTCCTCCCCCCCACACCTCCCCCCCCCCAAAAAAAAAGATTTTGCGCTGCACTGTTATTCGCTAAAGGCTTATGGTTGTTTGTGAATGAAACCTTTCGTTGCATTTCCTTACTGGTTACTTCTGCTGTGAGCCTACTGTGTAAAAATTGCAAATTGGTATCCGTGAGTACCTCTTTCTCACAGCGAAAGCTGCTATGAAATTAGAACACGGGTCACGTGCAGCATCGTAGTTGTCCACCACCGTCCCTAACCGGTATAGAACGAAAAAAAACTGGATAAATAAAAAGCACCAATGACACAATGGGATTCCAGCCCGGGTCCACTGCGTGCCTGCCAAGTAGTCAACGATTGAGCCAAGCTAGTGCTATGAATTCAGTAAATAAAAAAAAACACCAATGACACAAAAGCATTCAAACCAGGGAATGCTGCGTGCCAGCCCAGTATTCTGCCACTGAGCTACGCCAGTGCTTGGTACTCGTTTTTAAACTGGCCTTAGGAAGGCTCGATGTTGAGAAAGAAATCGCGTTAACATGAGTAATAAATCGTTCTACAACGTCAAAGGGACAGACCCGGCGTCACACGATGTGACTTGCAGAGTGGGTCGTTAAATGCTCCCACTCATTAGGAAACTTGTTTTTTGTCACCTTTTAACTGCGGCGGCTACCTACTTCACGCATATTTCTTCATTTTGGTCAGCCACTGGATAGAAAAATTGCGCTAAATTTTCAAAAAGTGTGTAGCGGATCCCACCACGTGTGGTGTGGCTGTGTTTATAGCACGTGTACAGGCCCTTAGGGCCTGTCCATGCATGTGCGATCCACACAGCCCCATCGCACGTGGTGGCACACCTGCCGCATGCAAAGAGAGGACAAAAGAGCGTATCAGAGACGCTTTTCCGCCCTCCGCTTCCGTGCTGCAGGTGTTCCGCCCCGAGTGGTGCGGCTGTGTGGATAGCCCGTAGATAGGCGCTTAGACAGAAGCAGCCCATGTGGTTAGCCAGCTCCGGGAATGCTGACGAAGAAGCGTTCACTTTCGTTATAGACATATATTCCTGTAGGTGCACGTGAATTTAGGCGCTATAAGACGTCCGTCAATGCCACTGACCTCCATAATGTCGTGGTCATGATACCGCATCAGGAAACTGCAGAGGAGCTGCGTCTCTTGCATTCCCTTGCTTTTGCCCCATTGGTAGTGACGTTCAACGAGCGCAGCCATGCATATTGGAGTGCCGTCCAGCAGAGTTAGGCTGCCGACCAAGGCACCCAGTGCTTGGAGCTGGAGGGCCATTTCGAATGCGATTGTCGCACCAAACGAGTAGCCACTCAAGTGGAATGGGCCCTCGGGTTGCAGTGTTAATATTTTCTGCATGGGCAAAGAAATCAAGGAATGAATATAAATAAAGCCGCAAGATATGCTCAACAAACTAAGCTTTATTTATGTGCTTACAGGAAGACGCTGCAATACTGTGTAATGAGAGGGCTCTTAAAGCAACCAGAGGTTGAAATTGACTTGTGGTGTGAAAGTTATACATAGGTATTCAAAAGAAAAAAGAAACTGTGCTTCCACGTGAACTTTCCAAGACAGTGTCGTGATAGCAAAGCTACGCAGGTTTGACGACTGAAAAAAGGGTCCTGAGTCGCTTCGCTCTCTCCTTCACAAAGCTCTGCACTTGGACTGTTCTCTCTCTTTGGTCAAGCACTCCTCCCTGTCATGCTTGCAAGCCGACAAATGGGCTCTATTCATTAATGAGTTGACCAGATAAGAACGATGACGTTGCATCGAACATTGGGGATTACCGTATAAGTTGTGGAAGAGAAGGGATCGTTTCTTGGTGTTTGTGGCATGCCCGCTGCTCTTAGCCTTGCCGCGTTTGGCATTGTTTACTGTGAATACATTCTAAAATTGTTGCGGGCTTTTACTTAAATGGTGAACGAATTATTAAAGGCAGTTTAAGGGCATTTTATTTCAGGTGAAAAAAAAAAGAACCAGGCAAACGCGAAGATTGAATACAGTTGTAACGGAGATATAACAAACACGAAAAAAAAACATTACATTGTAAAACAAGAAGCACAAGCACACAGCACGTGCTATACAAAAATGAAGAGGCGGATGTGCTGAAATTACGAAAACGCGTTTACTAGGACGCCGAAAGCGAGCACATAACCTCGGATGTTATTTTGTTCCAGTTTGTGCTCTATGTGGCGTTTATTAGCGTGCATTATGACCTGTTGCAAGTGCGCTATTATCATTATTGTCTCTTTTCGAAGAACGTCATAATATAATAATAATAATATCTGGCGTTTAACGTGGTGAAACCACCATATGATTATGAGAGATGCCATAGTGAAGGGCTCTGGAGAATCTGACCACGTCGGGTTCTTTAACGTGCAACAAAAAGCTGAGCACTAAGGTGTACAGCATTTTTGCCTCCATCGAAAATGCAGCCGCCGCAGCCGGGATTCTATCCCGTGACCTGCGGTTCAGCAGCGAGCACCTATAGCCACTAGACCATTATGACAGAAATTTGAAGAAGATTATGAGTAAGGCACTGTATCAGTATTTATGAGCACGTAGAGAGAAGATCGACTCGTCAGTCTGGCCCCACGAAAGCGGACGTTTAGAGGAGCTCTTAAAATTCTTCGCTACAAATTTTCCGGGGATTCAACGTATAGATATATAGCGCATACAGTAAAGGCTCGTCAATTCCACACTTGCTAAATCGGAAAAGTGGATAACTTGTGGCAAGTTGGGAAAGTGGGCGAGTTGTTTGAAAATGCACGGTACTTAAACAACAGCGGAAAAGATGGGACCAAGGCAGAAAGATCACGCACAAAGCAGATAATCTGGACTTGTTTTCACACCATGCCAGAATATGCAGTGTTCATAGGCGTCCAATATCAATTAGGTAGGTCAATAACTTGTCTATTCAAGAGAGGTAGTGGTTCAACCCCGCACCAGGTATGATACGGTGAGCGATAGAAATTAAAATGATAGGTGTATCCTTAAGACGCAAGGAAGAGAGCAGAGTGAGTAAGGGAACAAACGGGGATTAAGGATGTCACTGTTGAAATCAAGAATAAAAAATGGACATAGGCCGAGCACTTAGCGTGTAGGCAGGGTTACCACTGGTCATTAGAGGAACTGGCTGGATTCCCAGAGGAGGCAAATGCACGAGCGGGAGATAAAGAGTTAGGTGGGCCGATGAGATTAAAAAGTACGCGGGTACAGTGCGGAGGCAGCAAGCGCGCGATCGGATTGATTGGTGGAGCACGGGAAAAGCGTTTGACTTGCAGTGAGCATTCAGGATGATGAAGATATAATGGAGTCGGTCATGCCACAACCTGGCAAATTTGGATGATACTCGCAACTATAGGCCTGTAGCCAGACGAACTGCCTCATTACACAGCACCCTATGTTTATGAAGGACATGTAAATAATCAAAATAGGTGTTTTTTTAGAATAGTCAAAGTCTTCAGCAAGTTACCTCTCCCCCTCTTCCGAAAAAGATTGCTGGCTACGGGCTGCTCGGAGCAAGCCCAGCTCAAAGGTATGCAGATGTGCGACGCAAACGGACTGAAAACGACGTAGGTGAACAGCCGAAACAGTTGCAGGCTTTCAGCAAGGCGTGATCGCCATCCGCAATTGCGTAGCCTGTACGTAGGCATTGAGATACGTTATTAAATCTTGTTTTAGATTGAGACACGAAGATCTTGACCCGTGTTCACATTGCGTCCAAATTCGCCCACGATGAAAATTGGTGCTTTCGCCCTGCTCTTAGACCGAATAGGTACAAAATTTGTGTATTCCTGAGCAAGACGCAAGTACAGTGATGTAATAGACATATGATCATTGTATCCTTGATATTTTGAATAATGAGCTATTTGGTTAACTTGAAAAGTTTTTTCACTCCCGCGGAATGCGAGTGAACACGCTTTTACTGGATAGGCCTTCCAGTTCAGCATCAGAGCTCATGCGTCTTTCTGCATTCACCACTGCCCTGCCAACAGGGAGGCGTATTTTGAAGGTGATACATAACTACTGAAGTATTGCTCGGTCAATTTGTTACGGATACTGTTATCGTTGTTACTAATTTTATTAGAGGTGGAGTGCTCACAGCGTTTTTCAGCTCTGCCATGCGATTGCACAACACCTGGAGCAGAGCCACGATCACCTAGGTATTTTTTGGAGTGGAAATGCCACCGCCAAAAACCTCGGCTGGGAAGAGTAATCGTAAGAGTAACCTGATGCAGTATGTAACTGCGTCTCAGTGTCTTCACTGAGGAACGTCTAAGGATTAGACAAGCGGCATTACCCATGTTCCTTATTAGCGGCGGAAAAAAAACACGTGGTCTAAATAAATAAGCCTGGGTACAGTGGAGATAGGAATATTGCTACATGACAAAATAATCATAGAGTAAAAATAGCGTAGTGACCACTACACTACAACAGTATTGATGCTCAACAAACTGCACAATCCTTTTTACCGCTGTATCATGAAAAAAGTTAGATCGTTGCCCCTAATCGCGATGGCGAGACTCCACCCTGCAGCAGCGATATTTTAGCCTCGTAACAAGCCTCCTAGTAGCACGGCACGCCTTCATGGCACATCGACCACAGACCTGAAGATACGCAGCGGCCATGTCTTCGATGCTGCGAGTGGGGATGTCTGACGTCCACTGGATGCCAACGGCGCTTAGGGGGAGCTCAGAGGCCAGATCGCGCAGCGCATCTACGTGGCCCTCGATGGGATGTAGAAAAAAGACGCGGGTATCTTTGTCCTCAAGGTCGTTCAACTCCACGAGAGTGTGATCGGGGACGAGCCTCGTGCAGAGCGTGAACCGGACTGCCTCTGGTTCGTGACCTCCTGCAAAGGAACGCAAGAGACAATAAAAATAGGGACAGATTTGCTATAGAGGTACCAAGGACGATCATGCAGAAAGGAGTTGTGCCAATGACACGTGGCACCGAACTCCCAACGCTGCCGAAAAAGAGACATTTGTAGAATCAGCCAGCTTGAAAATATAAAAAAATTGGCATGTACACGACATTGAGAGATAACAGAACATAAAAAAACGTTTTTTCGTTGATTGCCTGAGACCTCTTATAATGCGTATACTCGTAATTTTCTTTCTATTTTTGTGCTTCTGGCAACAGCCTAAATTCGTCAGGGAACTATGAACAGTCGGTGTTTTGCTACTGTAGTTGTGCTGTCGGTGTTTTTTTGTTACGATTTTTCACGACTGTGTCAGTGACAGCGTACAGCGCTTCATCGTGATCTTGCGATGGACCAGCGGAGAGACATTTTCACACACGTTTTTCGAAAAGAGTGCAGATACGTACGCGCCCGCGTATCAGAAGAGCGACTAAGTGCACACAAGAGAAGAGAGCATCTCTTGCCACGCGCTGGCAGCACACAATATGCTGCCTCTGCGAACACTAACATGGCGACGTCAGCGACGTGATGCTGGCATATGAGAGTACATCGTATAATACTTTGCAGCGCAATGGGTCAAAGCCGAATCGAGAAGAGATACAGTGGCGATAGTATAGGTAGAGTATAAAGCTTCACTTAAAAAAATCACATTACTGCTTAAAATGAAAGCATTTTTCCGGCGCAAAAAAACAACAACAAACTCACAGGGCACCGCAGCGTTGCGACGTGTTTTCTTCCATCAACAGATTATACACACTTTATTCAAGAGCGCTCCCTATTTGCCGTAAAAGTAGGGGTGGAAGCCACTTTTCCGAAAAGGATCTTTGCAGGAGAGGAGGTACTCCTTTCTCGTGTGTCACTGTGCCAGAAAGCCTTTCCGGAAGATGTCCTATAATCTAAAGGACTTTAAGGTGCCTGTTTGGCAAACGTCTTATGCTCTGGCGAGTACCGGCACGTCATGGCAGCAAACTACTGCTTAGATAACCACAGCCGCAGCGTGATTGGCCGTGCATCGTGAGAGCCGGAAACGTCTTCAGACACTTCCTGACTCTAGCACGCCTCAACTCGCCCACGAATTCATTGATGTGTGGTAATTATGAATCGACAATCTTTGTTATTGCCGCCTGGAAGGTAAAGCAAGCTCACGCAACAGTGCACTTTGCTTGAAATTGTTAAAGCATTTCAGTTTGTCGAGCAGCAGCGAAGAATAAATGAAGTGAGATAATTGTGTTACTTACCTTAAGATTCATCGTATGTACTAGAGATTTTAAAGCACTCCGGTTTATTGAGAAGCAGCGAAGAATAAACGACGTGAGATGGTTGTGTTACTTACCTTCAGATTCATCGGACATACTGGTTTTTTCCAGAAGAATTGAAGCAGCTCTGCCACATTCGCTAATATCTCGTATTCGGGCGATGGTGAGTTGCCGTATTTCTCGCATAGGCAAGGTGAGATCGTATTGCCGCTCCAAGACCTGCTTCAGCTCGACTGTCATGAGGGAGTCGGCACCAAGCTCGTCCATCCTAAGGCTCGGCTTCAGTCTCGAGATGTCCGTGACGCCTTCGAGATCATACGTAACAATATTCAAAGTTATTCAACATTTAAGAAAAAGCGGTATCGTGCAGAGATTGCTGGCTAACACTTTTGGGATAATTTGGGCAGAGCATGACTTACTTTAGCGCATTTATATTAGCCAACATGCGAATAGTTTTGTGTCTACCTTGAAAACAATTGATGGTTAAATGACTTTATACACCTGCCTTGTCTGTTAGCTCGGAATGCTCCGTGGCTAGGGCCCACGGCGTCCTGCACTGTGGACGCCACCCACATTACGATTCTACAGTCTTCCCACTATACAGACAGACAGACAGACAGACAGACAGACAGACAGACAGACAGACAGACAGACAGACAGACAGACAGACAGACAGAATACATACATGCATGCATACATACATACATAGTTACATACATACATACATACATACATACCATACATACATACATACATACATACATACATACATACATACATACATACATACAGGCAGACAGACAGACAGACAGACAGCGAACTTAAATAGAACCGGAGGGGTTTCTGAAGGACCCTCTAACGAGACGCCGTTGCTAGCGCTGGCCGTGCCCACGTAGATAACAGAATGCTGGGACCATCCGCCCGTTTCTGGGCCCTCTGGACATCCTGGATTTGCCTGCTGAATTCCGTACTTCTGATGGCCTCCTCCCATTTGGCTTCACTTGAGGGTAGCTTGTTAGACAGCGCGGGACATCGCCAGGGCATGTGAGCCATACAGCAGAAGGTTTCACTGCAGTCAGGGCAGCTAGGGTCAACGTCCGCGTATATTTTATTTAGGAATCCCCGCGACTGGAAGGACCCCGTCTGCAACATTCTCGATGTAGCTGACAGTGCTCTGCTGAGGTTCGCGTGAGGAAGATAGATTCCTTTGCCATGTTGGTAATGCGTGGTTATACCATTGAATGTGAGCAGTGCGTCGTTCTGCTGAGTCCCTTTTTGCCCATACGTAGCCTCCAGACTGTCGCGGCGCATAAGTTCTCGCGCGTGATTATGGGCCAGCTCGTTGAGGTTTGGGAAGGCTTCGAGAACGTTCTTCCCTATGTGTGCGGGGAACCAAGTGATAACATAAACTGGACAAGCCCCCTTTTCATGAATAGAGGCCGCCTCTCGAGAGAGGTTGCCTGAGTGGTAAGCTCTAATTACGTCTCTTGAGTAGGTGTATTGTAGGAACGCTGGGGGTCGGACAAGGCCAGCGCAACCGCGATTCGCTCTGCTATACCCGAGGTGGCCGACTTCACCGAGGTGGAGGAGCGAAGCACCCCCCTCCCGTCTATAGCCGACAACGCAATCATTATACTGTTACCACACTGCGCTCCGTCGAAAAACATGGCGGAGTCAATGTCATCTTTAACTCTCTTCAGGATGGCTCGTGCTTGGGCTTTGCACCGACCCTCGTTGTGTTGTGGATGCACGTCGCGCGGGAAGGGCCTCCGCCATGTAGGTCACCCTTGTTTCCCGAGTCAGTGTTATTCGCCGTTCCTCTGTAAGCCTAGGAGACATGCTGACCTCGTCAAGATTCCTCCTGCCTTCCGAGGTTGACGATAGCCTAACCACCGGACAGTGACCTGCGTCTCTATAATCTCGTCAATGTTATTGTGCATAGCAAGTTCATCTAGCTTGTCAGTGCTTGTACAGATCTGCAAGCCAAGCACCTTCTTGGTGCTCTTACAAATGAGCGTATTTAACTTCCTCTTCTCTGTTTTGGTACATACAAGAACAGACGCCACATAGTTGATAATGCCACTAGTACAAGATCTGAAAGTATTATTTTCATAGAGGCTGGCAGGCTTGTATGTGCGGCTGTTTAGAAGAGGATGAAGATGCGTGTGCAGAGAAAATTGATAAATTCGTATTGCTGTTGTTTGAATCAGTTTGACGTCCTTGTGTGGCATTATCTGCAGGTTACAGTTACGTTGTAATGTGACAACTGGTGGAGGCGCTGGGTAATAGTCTATGCACTGTTACCACGAGAAAGATCTCGGCCCCAACATCGACGCCTTGGTATAAACAGCCAACCTTCGACGCAGTCGGTGGCAACTAGGCCTACCATTCCAATTCAGCCCTCTTCCGGAACACTCCAGAGCCATGGCATATGCGACAACTGCAAGCCAGAATCAACAGACCGCCACTCCGCCAGCTCCAAGGCTACCAGCCTCTCGAACGCCAAAGCCGTTCCATGGGGAGCCCTACGAAGACGTTGAAAACTGGCTGGACCAATGCGATCGAGTCGCCGTCGCCAACGAGTGGGACGAGCATTGGAAACTGCGGTATGTTTATTTTTACCTTGAGGTTCGGCGCGTCTTTGGCTCGAAAACCACGAGGCCACCATGACAACCTGGCCGGTGTTTTGCAGTCAGCTGCGGAACACGTATGGTAGCGCCAACCGGAAAGAACAAGCCGAACGTCTCCTTAATTCTCGCAATCAAAGACGCAATGAAAGCGTGGCCATGTTCGTTGAGGAGATGTCTCGTCTGTTCCGTCGAGTGGATTCTGCAATGACGGAAGACAAAAAGGTACGCATTCTGATGCGGGTTGTCAAGAAGCAGCTGTTTGCAGGACTTGTACGAAACCCAGCAGCTACCGTTGCAGAATTTATCCGCGAAGTGACGACAATGGAGCGAATGCTAAGACAGTGGTCTTAGCAGTATGAGTGGTCTGACAACCTTGCATGTCTGTCAGTACCCTTGGTAACACCTGATGTCACGAGCGCGAGAGACCTTGCTGAGCTAGTCCGTAGCATTTTACGCGACGAGCTGCAAAAGCTTCACGCAGTGCCTTCACAGCCTCAAGTGGCTGCTCTGATAGTTGTCGTCCGTGAAGAGATGTGGCAGCTGGTACGACCATTAGTTCCACCTTCAACCGAAGCTCCTCTTCTAACGTACGCGAAAGCTGTACGCACTCCTGCACCGGCAGCTAGCTATTTCCCCAGACAGACTAGCCTGCAGACGCTGCAGCACTTTTCGGGCCTGCCACACTATGAACACCAACGACCGACTTGTCTGCAGATGCCGCAATACTTCTCGGGCCCGCCACACTATGAGAATCCGTGACCTAATTTGCGGAAATCAAGCGTGTGGTGCGCTTCCGACAATCAGCCACTATGCTACCACTGTGGTGAGCCAGGCCACTTATACCGGGAGTGCTCGTACAGACAGATGGGCCTACCTGGATTTCGGCGAGACGCTCGTCGGCCCAGGGACGGGGAACGACTCTGCGCCATCGCAGAATACTTAGCAAGTCTAGCGTCTCCGAATCTTCAGTGACACCAATCACGCTCTCCGTCTCCTCGACGCTCAACGTCCGCTAATCAATACTCTACTTTCGCCGATGTTGTTGCGGGACGATCCGCTAGGTCTACAAGTCCACGCCGGGGAAGCTAGAATCAGCGGCTTCCGGGGGTGAGACTGCTGTTGAGCTATCGCCAAAACAGCCTCCTCCGACCCATCCGCCAACCTTTGACGATTC